CAAGGTGTGAATTTTTCAAGTTTCTAAAAAATGCACTTTTTATTGCGGACAAGTGAGAGAAACATACTTATCTAGTAGGAGGAATCGGTTTAGCACAATCTCTAATCTTCTATTAGCTATCCGTGAGCTTCACACAACTTGAAAGAACTTCTATTAAACCTTATAATATTACAAGACGTACGGTAAGGAAGTTTATTGCTTTTGATGTGTCGTAGGGTAGGGTTCATCCGCCAACATGATGTTGATTGTGTCCTACAAGAAGGTGTTGACATTAGCTGAAGTTTGGACAGATGTAACAGTTTAGCTTTAAGCATAAATTCCCAAAAGTTCGAACTCTAGGCCACGGTACCGGATTGTTGTTGTTGGACTTTTTTCCTTACATGTTTTAAAAAAGTGTAAGCTCACTTCTGTATGTTGCATACCCTTCCTTTTCTAAAGGACAAATAGCGAGCTTCGTAGTAGTAGTGAGGATTGGTTTTGAAAAAACTTTTTTTGCAATCAATAAATAAGATAATTCTTCATAGACAATATGAAATGTCTAAGCTTGAAGCCGGGCAGAAGTGAACGATCCAAGTTCATGTAGCAAAACGACCATGGCACTCCCAATGTGTATCCATAGCGAGAGTGGATAAAATTATTAAATAGTTTTGCTTGACAATTTGTTCATAAATAACAAGCCCGCTCGCTAGAAACAAGGCACACATTATCAAATTATAAAGTCGTAGTAAAGCCCTTTAATTAATAAAACGAATTGGCAAATCTTTGAAAGGCTAAGTCGACGTTTAGTTTTGGTTTCAAGTCTAAACTTAACTTTTTTACACTTACTTACCTAGAAGGCAGCTAGTCCCGTAGAAGGAGAAGATTGTCGCATTCGAAGCCGTAGGAAGGGATCTTGAATGGAGATTATATTTGAAAACCGATTCGCAACGACAACTAACAAGAGATAGGCCTAAAGGAGAAAGTGATTACTACTTCCTGCGCTTGCTAAGACCGCAGCCAACACGTTTGAATTGGATCAGCCTTTATTCGCTAACATACGTGTACTCAACTTATGTCAAGAAGTCGGAATTTTTCAACCATTTTCGATCATTTGTGTTAGCCTTAAATCTTAAGCTATCGGATGATATATGAAAATTAATTAGTAGTTTTCTGCTTTGCGGGCTTGTCTTGTCTAGAAAAGGAATTCATATTGTAATTTTTCGACTTCGCTGACACGAATTAAGAGTGTATGGCTAAGAAATGATAGAAATAAAATTTGAACCGAAAAGAAAGACATAACATAACTTTGAAAAAAAACGCTTGTCTTATTATTTCGTAAGAAAAATCAAAGTCGCTGAGGCAGTTCTCTCATCCACACAAATACCTGAGATCAGACATTAGCTGGCGAGACAACTTTTGTTCCTTACAAATGAAAAGAATTAACACCAGTGTCTGATTGGTACGCACTTTTCTTCTGCTTCCCATGATTACTTTTGTCTTTGTTTACGACATGAGATGCAGGGTAACTTCAAGTGAATATTGCTTCAGGTCGTCCACAAAAATGTGACAAAGGAAAACACTTGAATTTGGCGGACCGATTTAGTTACGACATAGGGTAAAAATCCTTCACACACAAAATATGTAATATTTAGAAGAAACTTAAACAAAGGACATGATCCATTACCCCGAATAAAAAAAAAAACGAGAAGTGAGTCGAGGTTTTTTTGCAGAAAAATTTGAATCAACGCATACCCTGCACAAAACTCTCATGCCAGCGCGTCACTAGCGTTATTCTCAGGAACTGAATGTACTCGCCTACTACTTCTAGGCCCAGTTAAAGAGATTGGTAATTTTGAACAAATGCGCCAGATGCTTTAACGCAGATAAAGCTACGGAAGAATAGAAAAGAAGATCGTGGGGGCGGGCAGGAAAGGAAAAAGTCATATATTTTTACTGGTAATGCAAGCGCAACGATTAAATAAGTATAAGCATACGCTTTGTATGTAACGATTTTCAAAAAAAAAAAAGAAAAAACATATTTCAATTATGACAGCCAACTGCTTTATCATGACGGTGATAACGTCACATGCCGGCAGACACCGAAAGCGAAGCAGAAAGTTTTTTTTACAGCTGACGCCTTTATATGCCAGTGCACTAATAAGGATGACACGAAGCATTTCAATTGTTCTTTCTTTTCTTTATGCTCTGACATCAGGTCAGTAAAGAATGTCAAGGAAAACTGTACATGACGGAGAGCATAATACCTTAGTAATTGTAGATAGGTATATAGTTGAGATGAAACTTGTACGCCTTACATTGTTTGAAGGCGTTTTTCATACTTACCAAAGTACATCAAACATTTTTGAGAAAGTGATAAAGGTAAAAATACAAGGGAAGTATGGAATACGCGAAAAAGTTTCAATGTATGAATCCTTCATAACATGTTGTACACCATCTTAATACTACTCGAAATTGTGTTGAGTTTATTGTCAGTTACACTTCTTATACACCAAAAAATTACTGTGTTTGAAATGAAATGAAGGCCTTCTTCAAACTATGTGCTGTAATATTAATGCAAGGCTTCTTCTCTTTTTTAAAACATTCAACAGGAAAGCCTTTTTTTTGAAAATCGCAATTAAACATTGAGTTCAAAAAAGTAAGTCGAATAAATTGCTTTGCATAGTTTCAGCAATGTTGAGTTCATTTCCTTCGAAGATGTATTTGTGCTACTGTTACGTTGGAATTTTTTTTGAAGGCAAGAGTGGAATTTATCAACGTATCAACGGCCCAACGAAAACACACATTGGCATTTTAATTTCTTTTAAGGAAATAATGCACATTTTTGCTGCTGCCTGTGCATTAGAATTTTTTTTTGTGGATTTAACATTCTGCCTGTTCACCTACATGTGCACGGTAATTCCTTCTGTTCCTATCGTTGAAGCTACACTTTCTCAACTGCTTCATCTATATGTAATTTTCTTCTAAAAAGTACAAGTTGGTTTCAACATAAATGAGTTGTGAAGAAGACTAACGTCTGCTATACTGAGCGAAGAAACTCATACGAAAGGCGGGGATTCATCCTGAAACTGGAAGAAGGCTGAAATTTTTATCTTCTGTTCATTCGGTCAGCTCATTGTTGTTTACTTTCACATACGCTACTAATAGGTCTTGGGTCTTTTGTAGGGCTGTACATAATTTAGACCACACAAAATCGATCTCACCCAGGAAGACGTAAACGATAACACTAGACGTCGAAAAGAGGGCCGTCTAATGTGGTAAGAAGCGACACGTAATACTACCTGCACTTCAGAGAATGCTTCAGATAATGAATTTTCGAATCAGTTGAATGACTATAGGAGAGTCTGCGTGATAGGAAATTTTCTCTTTGTAATTTTAGAGCTCAGAAGTTCTGCTTATCGCTGGAGTTTGAATAAACAAGGCCATTTTAAGTAGTAAAAGGATGTTGTGATTGCCTTGAGATAAATCTTTGGTCCCTTTCAAACAACGCGTGCCAGGTTTGTCATTTGGGACTTTTCTTTTCCTATCAAAATTTGGTTCAAAGTCGTCGCTTGTAAGTTGTAAGTCAATTCCTGTGCTGCTAATGATTGGTTTTAGAATAATATTTTCATTATTCTCTATCATTGACTAAAAATAGAAAATGTCAACCTTTCATTCGAGAAAGTCGCAAGTCGCAGAATAAAGTCGCAAGATCATCCTGCTTAAAAATATGTATAGGAAGAATTATTGATATATTTTATAAGATCTCTAACGAATACTATTTTCTCGCCAGAAGGGCAGGGACTAGGTTGGTATAAAATTTTGTTTCCTTAGTAAATGTAACTTATAAAGTCAACTACGTATGGCTCTTTGAAGGGCGTAAGATCTCCATCGCAAGTATTCTTTACCTTCTCTTAAGTAACGATTCTGTATGATATACCGGAAAAACACATGAAGGAAATGATTAGTTTATATTTAGATTATGTCTGACCTTTTTAACTGTTAATCGGAGCTAATAAGAATTTTCATTTCGAAAGATGTCAGTACTAAGCAACCGCTTAACCGCGGACAGTTAGCTATTAACGCGAGATATTAAAATTTTTGCCCAAGAAATCTCGCTGTTCACCTACAACAGACTCTCGCTTGATATATTTGATATAGTACGCATTTTTTCTTAGATTGAAAAACGTTTTTGCTTTTTTAGAGTTAAAATTTTGCAACTCATTGATGGTATAAGTCTATTATTTCTTTGAAGCATGGAGCGAAAGCCAAGCGGATATCGTGTACGTCGCTGTGCTCCATAAATATAATCTTAGAATATCGGCGTTATGGCTTAGCTGCGACTCTTAATGTATGCAACTTCCTACACCTGACGTATGACTTCATTTACATCTTTCCTGCACATTATCGAACGATGTCTGTGAAAATTTTCACATAAAATGCAGAGATGCATTTGTACTCCTTTCCAGAAAATAACTTGGACTTCAAAGATTCTCGCAGTAATATCTGCTGGTGTTATCAACGCAACATAGCGCAGTACATACTGTAGCAACATATTTTCAATTTTTCTTTCGACAGGTATCGGGCATGCATTGATATCCTATTCAACAAAGTCAGATCTAGACTCTCAATGTAATGAATAATTTTGTTTCTTTTTTGCTTCTCGCATGTTTACAACTAAGTCAGACGTAATAAACAGAAATGCTCACAGCAGTTTTGCTTTCCTTCGAATACTTGAATCCATATCCCATTTTATAATTTTATACAGGCTTCGCTCTTGCTCTAAAGAGAAGCAATTGAAAGTGAATATATTATAAAGTTATTTCTGATTTTATCTGATAAAGTGATTGTATTACGTTATATAATAAAAAATTATTTGAAATCATTGATTTTACTTTTAAGTTTTACGTTAAAAGTTTAATGAGTTCCGTATTCCGTTCCGTATGTCGTTCATGTAGTAATAAATTATTTTATTTATAAAAAATATTCATTCAATTTTCTTTGTGTCCTCTTATTCCTTTCAGAGATTTTATCAGAAATTTAAGCGAGATTTTATTTTTGTTTTATTGTTATGGCAACGTCAACAGCGACGATAAGAAACGACGATGACCAGCAAACATCGGCTACGCCTTTGGAACTTAGCACGTTAAATGGTAACGCCATGCAACAGAATACGATTAAATTACCGCCACGTCAATATGAACGTCGTGAACGTTTAATTATAATAAAGAACGTCATCATCATCGGTTTGGCATTTATGATACATTTCACCGCATTTCATGGTACATCAAATTTACAAAGTTCTGTTAACGCGGACAAGGCATTGGGCACCACAACTTTGGCTGTGATATATGGTTCATTAATATTATCAAACATTTTCCTGCCGATGACAGTGATAAGGTAAATTTTGCACACATGTGCGCGTAAAAAATTGAAGAAAAAATATAATTTTTCACATGTCGCACATAAGTTTTTTTCATTTATTGCTTTCCTTAAACGGATACCACTTTCTTCAAAGATTTATCAATAAAATTTCACAGATAAAATTTCCATAAAACGTTAAAGTGAAAATTATTTTAAGTAAACCAATTTAAGCTTACAGAAGAGATGTCATGGGATTTATGGAATTCTTGTCATACTTATAATATATCACATACTAGCATGAGTTGTATCGCATGCTATTAAATATACAAGTGCACCTGATTTTTTGTAAATTAAGGACAAAATCTTGGTTCGCTTTTTTAACTTGATGTTTGGATTCTAGTCCGGCTTTTAGAAAAAAAAAAACAAATTATTATTATAGTTGTGATCGGATCTCTAGAGCGATATAAATCGAGATATTCAATTGAACAGTAAAATTAAAAGAATTTGAGTCTGAGCTCGTTTTTTGGAAAATTTTTTGAGATAATCGTAACAAATAGACTCGGCCAAATCTATTGCTTTGTCCAGGTTGATCAAAACGATAAATTTAATCAACCACCCAATGTTCCAATATTTTAGCAACTAAGAGAATTATTCAGATATGACCGGATATTTTGTGTCATCAAACTTAGCTTAAAACAAAAATATGAGAAAAAAGTGGAATTATTTTAAGTTTTAAGATATTTTTGCGTGCTACAGGTTTGATAAATTTTAATGCAATATTTCAGAGAGTAATGTGGTATAATAAAGAATGGGAATAGTATTAGAAGACATCGGGTATAACTTCGAATATGATTATTAAAGCGGTTAGCAGTTGTATCTAACGTGTGACATCTTTGTGGTTCGGTAAAGAATTAAGACTTCTTATCCGGAACCATTCAAGTAACTCTCTTAGGAGCCTGTACTTTAACTATTGAGCTGGGCAGAAGAGGCCATACAGGTAGACTAAGACTAAGACAAAGTGTAGACTAAGTGTAAGATTAAATGTTTTAACGTGAATTTAGTTTGAAAACTTCAGAGATAGGGTATGATATACAAAGGTTTGCTATCGAAATGAATCCCTGGAATATAGTGATGAACTTATACCTGGCATTAGTAGTCAAAAAACCGTTTCTGGAGGATACACTTTACCCAAAAATTTTTAGTCTTTACAGTAAATCCCTACTGAGCGGCATTTCTAAAATCAAAACCATAATTTGTCACTCTGTAGTCGACAACATTTCGCGCTGCTGCTGCGAATGACAATTTTTGTGTAAAAAATTAATGCTGTACACCGTTCACTCAAGTAGTATTTGGAAAGTGACCTTAAAGCATTGTACGAGATTTTCACGTGTCTTTCGTAGGTTTCTTGCTGACATGCACAATATGAAACAATGCATGCAATGCATGAAATAATATGAAATTGTTAATTTTGTTACCAACTATGGATAACTTAATAATCATAATTCTAAAAAATTCTTTTTTACAAACGTTTAGAAAATGCTAAAAATTTCTTTCCTCTTAGTCGATTCGATTTATTTTCAATTTTCTATAAAATTTCCTCTGAATTTTCAATTCAATCAAATTCGTTTTTGGTGTATTTTGCTTAATAAGTAATTCCTTTTAGCCTAATGTGCAGATTTATAAGAATTTGAATGTTAAGTGTAGCCGCAGAGAGAATAACCATATCTTGATAAGAATTGTCTTTCTCTCTCCTTAATGGAATTCAATTGATTTCGTTTGCAAGATGTTACGATTAAGATTGAATAACTATTTAATATGCTCAATAGTATTACAAGAATTTAATGCGTTTTAATGAGAGAACACACAAATGTACAAATTCATTGCCGAAGTTAAGAACGAAGTGAGATTCGAAAAATTAAGATGTATTAACCATTTGGATGAATAAATTTTACTGGTGTGAAAATAACCGAATGTGGTTAGCCCACCTTTTTATCCTAGGTGAGCTATTGTCAAGCGGATTCGAGTGTTTGCAAAGACAAACTTGACAATTGTGCGACATGAAAACAATTTATTTTATATTCTAAATGCAGAACGATACCTTGCACCACTCTACAGTAATTCGTAATGGAACTTTTTGCAAAATTTGCTGGTTGTAGCTTGAAAACAAGATGGACAGACGGACAAACAAACTTATAATCACTTTCTGAATCGATCAATAAAATGAGGTGGACCTATTTTAAGTCCACCTTCTGATTGTTGCATGCATATGCACAAACTTAATATATCTTTGCAGCAAAAATACTATCGAGTATAACAATAATAATAATTTTTAAATAACACATAATGTCTTTAGTAACAATATCACGCCACTTTAAAATATTTTGATGTATACAGTGCCGAAAATATTCGAAAGAAGAAAAGGCCACGTCAGAGGTTGGACTTTTGAAACAGTTATTACATTCCGCTATTATTTTATGTGTAAAAAATTCAGCTTTCCTTCATTTTGAGATCTCTAACACAGTCTTGACTCTCTGATTTTTTAAAATTGCTGAGAAATCTTGCTACCGTACGACATCAGAACCAATTACTCAAATTATAAATGTTTTATTTATATTCAGCCGGTCTACTTAAAGTTAATATTATAAAATGGATAAGAGATTTGAAGCACGGATTTAGCATTAAAATGTACGGCGAGGTATCACTATTACATGACATCCTTTTTCCTTAGGTTAGCTTCTGACGTCTTTTAAGGCAAATCAAAAATTTGGAATACGTTCGTTTCTTTGTTGGTCTCTAAATTGTGCATTTTCGGCAAACATGCGATAACGGTAATAGTTTTCTTTTTATTTTCTTTTGACGATACTATAAGTTGTATTATGTTATATGTTCTCATTGTCTACAACATTTACCAACAAACGTAGCAAGACTAAACTTAAAGCATTTCCCATCGCAGGTAATTTGTGGATCCGTAAATGTCTCCGAAACCTTTTAAATTCCATATGTAACATTATTAACAAAGTAAGGAATACCACTGCAACTTACGCACAAAAGCGAGTCTTTTACGTACATTGGGCTCTCAGAGATTAGCAGTTGAAAATTAAAGCATATCCAGGAATCTGCCTTGGTTACGCCATTTCAGGAAATGTTCTTTTCATTGTATTAAGGACGCCAGCGAAGGGGGTTGTGATTACTTTCACAAATGATGTTACCGGGATAATTAGAACATCCAAAAATAGAAACTAAAGCATTTAAATTGCTTCAAACTCACATCGAATTTTCATAATTAATTTATATAAGTTATAACCCTCATTGATTCATATTTGAATGGTGAGCTTCCACAGAGCGGAAAGTTAAGAGAAATAGAAAAACTTGTTGTGACATTATCTGAACTCAATTGCAACTCCTCTAGGGACAACCTTTCGAAGGACACTTTATACATTCCATTGATGAACTCGCTTACAGCTAAAGGTTTTTTATATACTTCTCCTAATCGCTTGATATTGAATGTTGAAAATTCGTCTCAAGTCGATTCTCACGTTCGTATCTCTCCCTCTCTCTCTCTCTCTTGTTCTTAATTGAAAATATAAAAAATTGCAATATTTAGAATAATGTGCACACAGTTTCCATCTGTCCTCTTACTTTATGGTTTTCATATGAAATTTATTTTAAATATATCCTTATTACTGATGGGATCGTGGTAGCAATTTCGTGTGTTTTGGGGCAAAAGAGTCATCGAGCCATTTTGGCACATTTTCATATTTTGTGAACCGTTGATTTGCTAAATATAACGGCATCGATCTAAATAAGTTGTAATAAAAAGGAGCGACATATGAAGAATAACCCGTAATCGGGATTAGTTCCCAGCGCAAATTGAAGATCATTTCCTTTGTTGCTTTTACTGCATGTCAAGATGCGTTGCCATGAAGCAACATCTCTTTTCGATTTTCTTTGCCTACGAATGCTCTTTTTTCCTGAAGCATCTCACATGATGTGATGAGTTAGGCTTGTATTCGTTCAGATATAAAAGTAAAGCAGTTGAATCTTTCCAGCATCACCAAATAGTGCTTCAGAACACTCATTATTCTTAAAGCTACAATTTTTTGCACATCATCTTGCAGACCATTCTCTGACTGTTTCATAATTTATTAACTGCTTCATTATTAAGTCAACTTAATCATTATAACACGCAGTATCCTTAATATTTCTAGTAGGTATCCGTCCCTTTACCCTCTGACAGCTTGTAAACAACTGAAACTTATACTATATGAGCACTATTGTTAAGCAGTCTATATCGAAAATTTCGAAAGAAGTGAAGGGATAAGGTTTGTTTTACAAAGCAAGCAATTTTAACGCCAGGAACTTATTTGTACGCACATTAATGTGGAGGAGGTTTAAATGAAAATAAAGTAACCGACATCTGAGTGAGCGCGAACAGCCGAAGTTTAAGGCGAATTATTCTCACCTAAGTGTCTGTCCTAAAATATGATCGTTTCGAGATAAATGTGTGTGTTTACGATTCTGTATTACAAGAAAATGTACAGGTACACATGCGCACTGTAGTCTTGGTCTTCTATGTTCCTACTTTCCCTGCAAAACACTTGTAAGTCTTAGGAAAGATAAACCATTTTTTGTGTACGAGTGGACAGCATATCTACACCAATTGATGCAGCAGACGGCTCGTCCTATTAACCTCTACTGTACGTTCACTGTATCTCAAATTTTGATCTGTAGCAAATTTATTTAATTTATAGTGTCATTCGAATGCGCGGCAACAGACGGAAGAATAGGTAGAGAGAGAGAGGCACTGATGAATAGGATGAAAATTACATACGCAATTTTGCATATTCGAGATTCTAGCAATAGGCAAAATAGTCAGATGGAGAAGCATAGATCAATAGGATCAAAATTTCATACTCAATTTTGTATATTCTAGACCTTTTAGCGCTTTAAATAGTGTTAAATGTAGCATATATCACGGCTCAGCGAAGTATCTCCATCCGTTAGAGGTCATTATAGCATAAAACTTTCTCTCTCTGTAGTGTAAGAGAATGGAGTCTTCCGATACTAGATCTAATTTGCAATAAACTTTGAGATTTTTTTTTGCTAAGAAAAGTTTAAGTTAAACACTTCCACCATACATTTTGAGAGAAATATTTCATGTTGACTGAATTGAAACATGAATCCGTGTTACTGCAATCTGTAATCATTGTTTTGATTTCGAGATAATTTCGGTTTATTACAATATATTTTATCATTAATTTATTGCATAAATATGAATTTTAATTTAATTTACTGCTCAATAAACAATGTTTTGCTCGCTTACTTCTCCCTTTTGTATCTTACCGATACCATTACGTATCGCCTTCATTTATGTGATTTTACGGATTTAATTTTATATTTATGTTACATATATGCGTGTGTGTGCATAAACAAGAGCATAAGATACGATAGGCAATGAATTCATTTCAACTACAATGATGCACATTTTAAAGGTTATAAATAACATTAATCACACATACATGTATTGCAGTGCGAACATAACGAGATAAACTGAAGTCTTATATACGCTTATCACTTGATTAAATGTTATTTGCTTAAAATCCGAATTCATTGAAAAAAAAAGAAAAGAGTAAAATTTTGTACTGAACAATAATTTAGTTTCACTTGCACATATACATAAATAGCAAATAAGAAATTTTTTTGGCGTAAAAAGTTAGTAAAGTTTTTTCAATCATTTTTCATTTCTTATGTTCTTTCATATCTTTATAGCGAACGAATTTGATTTTTTTTTTTTTTTATTTTATTTCAGATGGTTTGGTGTGCATTTAACTATGTCTTTGGCGTTCTTTGCCTACATGCCTTATATAGCGGCGCAGTTTTATCCACGCTTTGAAACGCTTATACCGGCCGGTCTAATGGTGGGCTTTGGCGGTGGACCTCTATGGTGTGCCAAGTGTACCTATCTTTCGACGGTGGCGGAAGCCTTGACTTTTGTACGTGGCCGGCAGTCACGCAAGGACGTTAACACTGTCAAATTTTTTGGCCTATTTTTTATATTCTACCAAATGGCCCAAGTATGGGGTAATTTAATATCTTCATCAGGTAAAAACAAGTAAGAATTATAATGGGAGAGGGCCCACTATCATTGAATACGCTACACCACTTCGTTTTATACAGTTATTGATGTAGCGAGTTTTCAAAGTAAGGAGGAGTGTAAATGAGGAGTGATGGAACAAGTGGTCCGATCCGAATCATCTTCAATAGCTTTCATGCTTGAGCCAAAACAGGCTGGCCTGGAAAACTGGTAGACGGACAGACAGGCAGACAGAAAGTAATTCCGGAAATTTCAAATTCTTCTCAATGATCCATACATTCGCACAAGCCTAATGTAGCCTTGCACTACAAGTGATAGAGAATATTGAATTTATATATATGTATATATAGTTCGCTTTATAATCACGTGTACATTATAAGATGTGTGTTGCATCTATTCAAAAAATCAAAGAAAAAATTGGAAAAAAATCAATCACAAAATAATTAGTAAACTACTTTAAATATCTGATAGCAGTTAGTAAGTAATTTAACGCTGGCGTTAATGTACACATGTGCACATTCGTTTCGTAGACAGCACAATACGTTTGGTAAGCTTATGATATGTTTTTATGTTGTTTGCACGCAACAAAGCAAAATGCAATAAATATCTGACGTTTTTTTCTGAGAGTGAGCAGACGGCAAACGAAGGTAAAGCAGACCTTTTGGCCGACTGCGATGCAATATAAATTAAAGTACGGAGGATGAACCCTCGAAGAACTAATACTTTGTGAGAAGACGTGTTACGGTAATGCAAAATCGAAGAGTTAGGTGAGAGAACTACATAGCGTTACCTTCTTTCTGCTGTTTGCCGTTCCAATAGTTGCCTAGTTTCTACTTTTGGCAAACCGTTTTGAGCCTTGATCACCGCCACAAAGTTTTCCTCTTCTCTGGGATGGCTGCGGGGAAATGGCATGCTTTGTATATCGGTCGACACTTCAACGTCGATGTTCTTTAGCTCGTTCAATATTCCACAAAAATGAGTTACTTGATCAACTTATGTTTGTTTACCACTAAGGTGGAACCGCACCAACATTTCCACCAATCTTCCCAGCTAGACTTTCTCCTTAGATATTCATTGTTGGTGCTGTAGATTTTTTTTATGTGGATTCTTTTTGCTTACCAATGCATTCTGATCACTTCTTTTCCACTTTGACCATTCCTTATTATTGATGTTCTCACGACCTATTGCCTTGATAACTCATCATAAGTCGAGCTATCACGACAATCGAAGAAAACTTTTGATCGCATTACCAAGGTTGAACTTTGTGTCAATGATGGCCATCGACGTTTATTCAAACTTTCATTTCCGTCGTATGCTTACACGCAATAATTTAACAGAACAAGCCAACCGGTCTGTAAGTTAAGTATCGATTTTTGTTAAGTATCATTAGCTTCACCTGTTCATTATTGATGGTGTTTGGTGTCGACAATTTGTAATTCTAGGTACATTGGTTACGAGTCGCGCGATTTAGTTTATTTATGCAGTAAAACTATTCCTAAGCCCTCTGCTTTGTACCTTATTCTTCAATTTAAAACAAGTAAGGGTAAGGCCGACCATTAGATACCCTACATAAATTCGCCGTTTTCACTTGTTTTGGTACTAATACAACAAAAGCGTTCACATTATTATTCTATATGGTAGTTAGATCGCGGTGAAAACTTCCCTTGCAACTTTCAATTACAAGCACATAAGCGCACATATACCCGCCCGTTTTAAAATATACAGCATGTTTTGCATGTTGTCCTTTCTTGTGAGGAACTTTTGTATAATTACACACTATTTTTTGGCACTGAAAGAGGTCCGGGAATAACGTAAATATGCTTCTCTTTGTTTGCTTTTTTTTTTGTTTTACTTTCAATGGTATTACAGAAGCATGTGTATGAAATAATATATATTTCTACGCGTACATGCATACAGATATATATATTATTTCATGCCAATCTATTCTTACTTCAACGCCTCTGGGAAACGAGACAGGAAGGAACTATTTGGTTTTTGTTTTCTATGACATGTAAAGACTTTTTAGCCGAGCTTTAAATTATTCGTTTACAAAAATGTTATTTACCTAAACTTAAATTTGAACAATTAAAGGAAATGCGATTATATTTTATTGATATTGTGGGTATGAGTGTTGGCGGACATAAACTTGGCACGAAACATGAACATAACTTTATGGAGAACAATTGAAAATAAACCGACAAATTCGCATTTTAAAAACAATTTATCAAAATCAATTTCAAGTTGTAGGGAAAACTTTGCATACAATGAAAAAATTATTTGTTCTATCAAGTGTAAGTTAATCTGCCTGAAGATAAAAGAACAAGCTAACCGAAAAATTTGAAATATGTTTTGAAAAAGTTCAACTTCGCACTTAACCAAATTTAAACGTAGTTTTGTTTTCGATTGTTGACTGTAAAATTCAATCAATATTTGGTCATTGCTCATTGCTACCGCCTATGTTTTATAGGATTGTTAGCAAGTTCCCTAACCTTTTGTTGCACTTAGTTTACTTTATGCTACAAGTTAATATGTGAGTCGTGTGTAAGACAATTATAACCGGCGAAGACCGACCTTTGGCACGGTTTATACTTGACACCGCTTCTCTTAATAAAGTGATTCGTTCGTTTCGATAGTAATACTTTAAAAATTGCACATTACTTTCATGCAAAGGCATGCCTTTCGTGGAAGGATGCATATTGGAGTTTGTCCAAAACATCACCTGACGTGATCCAAAATATGCAAATTTAATTTATTTAAAACTTATATATTCTGAAATTTGTATATTCTTTGCCAGCATCAAATTCTAAGTCGAAATACGCATGTCTGTCCGTCCATCGGTATGTCTGGCAAGCATACTATAGTATATGCAAATCTTGCATTCCACTATTCGAATGCAATTTACGGGTTTTATATTAAAACAACCGAAATGGTGTTCATGTCTAGACATGACGAAATCTTGGTCACAGTCATAGGCATGTACGATCCTTGTTTTGTCCTGAATTATGCATAACGCTTTTCCTTGCCCTTATTATGGCACACCGAACGATACGAGCGACAGACGATCGATGCAATAAAAGAATCACGCTGATGAACAGAGCAGTTGAATGCACGAAAGAGAAATTAAAATATTTCGTTGTTAATGATATTAGAATAATTAGAGCACGACAAAGAAACATAATTTTATTCCCACCCTGTCAAAATTTCTCGTTTAAATAAAAGCATCTCTAAGCTTGATTTAGATGAAATCAAATTAAAAGCTATTTTTTGATTCATAAAAGTCGGGCTCTATTGCTTTTTGTCAAGATTCCTTCGGGAATACCAACGCACAACAATACCACTAATCGATAAGGCTACACTATCGAGATCAAATTTTCGCAAACATATGGACTAAGTCAGTCAAGTGACACATATCTCTATATCTCTGCTTTTAAAAGCAGGAAAAAAAAGTTCATCGGCCGGAACGATAACACTTTTTGCCTTTATGCTCTATGCACGATCCGACACTGTACGAGTCCAAAATAGAAAGAATTACTCAAGCCCACTTAACGGTGCATTGGAATAGGGCTTTCCTTTTGTATTCTCGAGTTTCTTTTAAGGTAACAAGATTCGGTCGAACGTAGTTTTCTTACTTGTTAACTTTTACGTTCTCCTATAATCGATGTTATGACGAGATCTTAGTACAATTTTTAGATAGTTATTCAGGTGACAGTCATACCGCTCCATTTATTTCGTCCTGCAGTGTTTGAAGCTCCTGCCATAAATTATTTTATTTTTCATTCTTTTCAGTTTTGACGTTAACCTTGGCTGGTAATGAAACGGATTCACAAAGCAACTCAAGTAGTCAATTGGTGGGCGAATTATGTGGCGCCCGTTATTGTCCAGGCATTGGCTCAGAAGTAAACCCAAATCTTATACCACCGGAGCCGGCTAAAATACAATTGCTTAACTCAATATTTCTTGTCTGTATGGTGATAGCGTTTCTGTTAATGTTTTTCGGTGTAAACTCTCTCAAGAGGTGCCTGCGCTTATGATTCAGTTATCCAACTAATTTTTGCCATAAATTAAAAATTTTTTTTTTTTTAAATTTTTAGATATGGCATAAAACGGGGCGAAACTGAGGAGGGTCTTTCTGGTTTGAAACTCCTAACAGCTACGATTAATCTTTTACGTACACGACGTCAACTTCTTATATTGCCCATCACTATGTTTATCGGTTTGGAAGAAGCCTTTCTAGCGGTGGATTTTACTAAGGTAAAATATTTTTTCAAAAAATTTTTAAAATATCATTGAACGTAACATACGCTTGTAGTCTTTTGTAGCATGCGGTTGGGGCATTTCGAATATTGGTTTCGCTATGATTTGCTTTGGTGTCGCTAATGCTGTGGCTGCCGGGTTTGCAGGTGGCTTAGCAGCGAAATTAGGCCGCACCACCTTGGCCGCCTTGTGTGCGATAGTAAATTTATCTTTGCTGGCGTACATGCTGCATTATACTGCGCAACCGAATGATTACATTAAATACTGTACTTTTGCTGCTGTTTGGGGTATATGTGATGGCGTATGGCTTGTTGTTGTTAATGGTTAGTACTAAAGAAATAAAAAAAAAAAATTTGAAAGGGAAGGTATTAACCCAAGCCAACTAAGCTTAATAACTCAGCTGATAAAAGCTTGCTGCCTTGAGGGGTTCGAAGCTGTGCTCTACAAAAAATAGTAAATACAGTGTTTAAATCACATGCCATAAGCTATGCAACTGTACATGTGAGCTTATGAAAATTATCAAGTATTTTTACGTCGCTTCCCGGGGGTATATTATACTTGTTAATTGTTCGCCATGCTTAAAAATATGCAAAGCGAAGCATAAGGTATAGCACTTTCATTGAAGCTTTTAGAAAAAAATCTGAAATCACCGAGCAGGACAAGAAAAAAAACACGACCGAATTCTACTTCTTCTTCATATCACATTTATAATTTTTTCGTGTTTCCTGTACTACATATGGAGTACAGCAGTCAAATTGGATGACCTTTGCCTCTTGTGGCAAATCGGGTTTGGCGAAGTTTTCCAAAGCATTCTGCTTTCAAAGCATAATCTATTGTTTTAGATATGGTTTGTGTGTCGGACGCCCCATAAATGCTTGTGTTGATACGCTTTAACGACTAGGTGGTTGGTCTGTTCATCTCAAAATCACATCTGCAGATAAACAACAACATTGGATTGATTAAACATTCTTTCTTTCCCCTGTTTTCTTGCACTTTTCTTTTCAGCTTTTTATGGTATCCTTTTCCCAAAAAATTTAATAGCTGGTTATAGCAATTTTCGTTTATGGGAATCTACTGGTTCTGTGATAGGTTACATAATCAGTTCACAACTTTGCACTTCTACCAAGCAAATGTTATTAATGTTCGTTCTATTGATAGGATGTGCAGGGTATGTATAAAATCTATTTTCCCGAGAAAGAAATATTTTAAAAAGCTTTTTTTTTAATATATATTTTTAGCTATGGATATATCGAATTTCATATAAGAAAAAAGCAAAAACATTTGGAAAATATGTTGAAAGAATGAAAATTAAATAAAGTTGAAAAAAAAAGGAAAAAAAAAAAACAGAACAACAGTTTGTTTGGTTTTCATTACGGATTTACTTACTGTTTCCATGGCCGAGGATCAGCGATCGTCCAGATCCAATAAAAATCCGAGTTTATAGTAAAAAATTCCATACAGTAGGACGAAACACGTGCCTTCGAAACATAAACAAAATAAAAATGCTGCGGGGAGAATCCTTCTGAGATTTTCTTTAGTTTCATAGAACAAGTTGCAGCTTTTGCTCACTTTCAATAAACGAGTACCAGCTTTTGCTTAGATTCATAGAACAAGTTGCAGCATTTGCTCACTTTCAATAAACGAGTACCAGCTTTTGTTTAGATTCATCGAACGAGTACCAGCTTTCGTTAATAAATTAAATATGCATCCATTCATATATCTATATACCTGTTGTTAATTAATATGAGAGAAGATTCTGAAGCGATTTACTCACACAATGGAGTAAAGATTAATCTGTTCTTTGCCAGCGCAAGTAGGTGACATTATTTTCTTTTTCATTTGGTTAAGTTTTAAAAATTCAAAATATACATAAGTGGAACAATCACACAGCAAATAAACATTTTCATCTTTCGCAGATCGCTAAGTTCAGAGATTTTCATAGCCTACAGGTAGCGAAATGGATTTACGAATACTTTTTTTTTTTTATCTAATAGGTTTTTATTTATTTCCCACATTTAAGTTAAATATGTAATAAAAAAAAGATTCATTTTTGAATTGATTTCCTAAAGACTCTTCAAAATATCATGCTCTACATAAGCAGATTAAAATCAAAGACTTTAGATCCGCTCAAAGAATTTATTATTTGACTCCCTCGTTTCGCATTTCTTAGGGGTAAGAAAAAAAGCGCCAAAAATTTGTTAATATCATCGTTGCGTGTGTACTTAATATATATATGTATATATACGTTTAATAATTAGGATGCTTCATGGCAAAATTTAATTTCTTCAGTGATTACTCAATATAACAATGCATATTGTATTATATGTCGATCAATAGATCAATCAGTCAATCAAACGATTTAAAAGCACTTCTTACTTTATTTATGTCAACCAAAATGTATGCTATATACACTGATTAATATATATTTAGCTGTGGGAGTTTTAATAAGAAAAAATTCAAGCTGAAAGCTTTAACCAAGATCTTGACACCACAACTTAATAAACAGAGAAGAGATGTCTCTTGTCTACTGAACGTAGTCGAACCATTTCATCTATTTTCAATTTTGGACCTACATCTTGGTACAAGGGTATATTAAATTTGGGCGGTTGTAAGGAACATCCTCCTTCTATAACACAAAAACAAAATGTGATTTTGTATCAATCTTAACTTGCCCGTCCGTCTAGTCTTCTTGCGTTGAATCGAACAGATCGCAAATTTTGGAGGTAGTTTGATAAAATCCGGTGTACAGGCTTGCTTTAGCCAAAGAACAACCGCTATTGAAAATAGTTAAGATCGTAGCACTTTTTCCATCACTTGCCATAAGAAACCTCATTTCGAAAAGTCATATGAATAACTATAGGGTGATGTAGGGAATTTAATGATGGACCCTGGGCCATTACAGTGTTGTCTCTAATTGTTTTTCTGTACAACATTAGTTGCTTATTACATTAATAAACGGATTGATGGACCGACGGGCGAGGTGCTGTTTTTGCCTGTATCGCTGGATCTATTAACTCTAAGCAAGAATAAAAACGCTTTCTATCCTGTTTCGAAATTAGTTTAATTCAGTCGAAAACTTAAGAAGAAGAAAAACATTTTCCATTCTCGGGACTTTTGGATCATCTCAAAACTGAATTATATGAAACCTGAAATATATTTTTTAATGCACTTACCTTGAAGAGATTTCCATTTAGAACAAAGACTTCTTTAATTGTTTATATTTGTTGTTGATTTCTTTTTTGTTTTTTATTACAATCCATTTAAATAATAATTTAATACAGTTCTTAATAATTTTTGTAGTGAGTGTTTTTTTTTTTTTTTTAATTTTTATTTTATGTATAATTCTGCAGTTTTCCGTTTTCTCATAAAACTTATTCTTCCTTTTTTTTTTTTTCTTTATAAACTTATTTATTTATTATAAATATCAAGAATTTAGTTTTTTTATTTAATGCTTTTCAGATGTTTCATAATAATAAAATTTCTTAATTTGTTTTTTTTTTTCATTTCCTTTTTTGTTTTAAATTTATTTTTATAGGGTAGAGAAATGTAATTTTGTGTTTTTGTTTTATTCCGAGAAAGACATTTAGAAACATTCCTATTTTTATTATTAAATTTTATTTTAAATTTTTAATTAATTATTTTTTTGTTGTTAATTTTATATTTATGTTTAGCAATAAAGAATTATGAAAGAAATGGAGTTGGTGGTCTTATTTTACAAATTTTATTTAAATGGAATGGCACGTGTTTTTTTTTTTTTTTTTTTGTTAATGTATTTTGTAAATGTTTTCCTTTCAATTTTTATTTAGCATACATATTATATATATATTTCTTTATGTCCTGGTTTTCATTCATATCAGATATGCTATAACGCAAATGCTATGACACATCTTTTACAATAACATGGCTTACTTGGTTGACTTTTACTATTACTATTGTTGCTTTTCCTATATATTTTTATAATGAATCTTTTAAGTGTTAATACTAGTCTGCATATTATTGAGTCACCCTTTAAGGTCTATTGTTTTTTTTCTTCTTTAGAGAAAAGTATTTCTTAATTTTCACTTACAATATATTTAGTCACATGTATACTTTCATTGTTTGTATGTACATTTCTTAAAGTCTAAGGACCTAACTGGCTTACATCTATAAACTATTTTTTACCTAAATTTAGTTTTACAAGCAATATTAAATCTTTTAGATATTTATTTGTATCAGTTGTTGTAGTTTATGTACATGTACAATCTGCTATATACAATGTACACTTATTTACAATTTCCTCCCGTTATCGTTTTTTACAAAAGACTACATTTTTCACTTTCCCTTTACACCAGCGAGAGAATATACCCATGAATGCCGCTCGAGTATATTTGTCAGAAGTTTCCCATAGTTTCAGTAAAGAGAGTTTTTAAGTCAATTTAATAATGTTTGCGCATCCATTTGTTCACTTTGGAAAGTCAAATCTAGACTCAATCTACTCTATATCGCTTTCAAAATGGATTGTGTTATCCCGTAGCATACTGGGTGATAATCTGAAATCATTACAGGTATTAAAGGTTTGCATAAATGTGTTTTCATTCAGAGAAAGGCAACGTGAAAGCTTATCATCTCTCTTTACATAAAATTTTTTTATTTAAAACTGATCCTTTTAAGTGGATTTACATGTCCGTGCGCAATTTTGTAATTAGTACATATTTCCGTACACGAAGACAATTGTTTTACTTGAGTTTCATTTTCATTTTCCTTTAATTCTTTTCACCTATGTACGATTTTAATTTTTTTTTTTTTTAAATTCTTATTTTATGACTTTACACCATGCCTTTGGACATCATACGAACGGTATTTTTTAAAGCTTGTCTCTTATTACAAAACCAAATGCGTATAACTTCACGTTCGTAACCTAATTGATGAGCCAAACCGGTAATTTCGGTCCCTGAAATGAATGAAAATTTGTTACATATCTTTTATATATAAAATCTCTATAAAATTTCATTTATTAATGAACAAATCACAAATACATACACTTATTAGAAACGATAAGAGATGAAATCTATGATGAAATAATTGCAATAATTTATTTGCAATGCATTTGCAATATTACTTTCAAAAAAGTCAAAAACATCTTTTATAAGAGTAAGTAAATTTTGCTCTCAGAAAAGTCAAAAACAGCTTTCATAAGAATATACAGTAAAGTAAATTTTACTCTCAGAAAAATAAAAAGAGAGTAAATAGAAAAGTAAATTTCGATCTCAAAACTGTTCGCACCTCTCTCTTACTGAAACCATTTTAACACACTTACAGATATTTTACTTCTCTTCCAACGGATTGACCAAGGTTACCCTAACCTATATTTAATTTATCTAACTAATGATATGTGGGAATAACTATTTTTATTTAGTTTTACAGTCATCTTGCATAAAATACACATGCTTACAATTCCTGAAACTATTGCGTGGTTAACAATGAAATTTACACGTAATAGATTATTTGTTATATAAGGTGGATTTAATTTTTTATCTACAAATTTGATCCTTGACGATCCAATAATATTATAAACGATTATGAACTTTCCAAAATGATCATAATCATTTTATTTCATTTTCAAATGTTCCTCAATTCCTAGAGTGGTGGTATTTGTATCGCATTCTATACAAAGTTTGCAAGTATGTAGCTGAGTAAATGATGCCAAGTTTTTATGGCTAAAAACAGTCATGCCAATTGTAAACAAAAGCAGGCGTTATTACGAATGAAAGAGTGAAAGAAAATTCGACATATTTTCATATGTGAAAAAAGTCATGGATAGAACATTAAAATAAGATAAAGAAAAATTTGACTTACTACACAAATATTCAGATGAAAAACAAAAACAAAATATTAACATTAGACAATTATTTAATGAAAGCAATTGTTTCCTTATTAAGAAAATCACAATTTTCTTGACCCTGTTTTAACTTATTGGTGTTTTCAAATTAAAAAAGCCATGAGAAAGTGACGCTAAGCGAAAAATGCTAATTCTCTATCAATTCTAAATAGCTTTCATTGAATTCTATACAGAGTGCACAGAGTGAGACTAAAAAATCAAATTGTAAGAAAAATGGAGACAGTCGTAAGATAAAATATCGGGACAGTGTTAGCAAACTAAAAAAGTGCATCTTTTTGGGACCTTTATATATACGACAGAAAGAGTAACAAAAATCCATGTATACACGCTTATAGAAATCCTTGCCACTTAACACAGGAGAGACTATCCAAAATTTTCCAATCGTTTGCAACTTTCAGAAATATGCTTTGAAAATTGCGTATGTGTATATATGTGTGTGTATTCTATGTATATTCTTGATCAGGCATAGATATTGAGATGATTTATTCGTTTGCTGTTGAAACATTGAAAGCCACAAAAAATCAGATAGAAATTGTCATGCATGACCTTAACTATAATTAAAAAACAATTATAATAAACGAATAATATCAGATCTTCGTGTCATATTAGCTGTTTTACAATTACAAAGCTTGTCCTAAGCCGCGATAATAAAATGGAAGAAAATCGGCTATAAGCGTCTGCATTGCAGAGGAAGAATTATTAAATAAAGTCTATAAGGGATATTGATCTAAAACCCCGCTTTTTTTCGTTATCAAAAGGCTTATGGTCACTTAAAAGGCCTGTGAGCTAAGGATATGTGGTAATATGAAAGGTATACGGTTATATAAAAAGTAAAAGTAAGTCGAACTTGATACTGCTCTTCATCGCAAACATTGCCATTGGAAAGGAAAAACCGCACATAAGCTATAGACGACATGAGTTAAATTTCGAAGATGAATTAGGTTGGTACACATAATAAAGCGCATCCTATATATCATGCACATTTTAAACCTACTTGTACTTATGTACAAACAAGTTATTGTAGGTTTTTGCTTGCAGGCAAAAGTCAGGCAAATCTGGCTAAATCGATTCTATTATTCAGATTTATTAAGGGCTTGTCGATGCATTTTTCAATGCATTACGCACATTTAGCACATTTCAGAAACTTTTTGTTGGTTGTATGCCAAACTTGTAATAATTTGTCGTTATTTACTTTCAATTAATAAATTTAAGTAGATTACTGCAATTATTTATTGTATTAAAGCGTTAATAATAAAAATAAAAAATGTGAAATTACCACTCACCCGATGGATGGGTATTACGCTCAAAGTGAGCGTTAAGCAATTCCAAAGCTTGTGGCGTAAACGAAGTGCGACGTTTACGCTTTTTGGAAGGCTCGACACCAATATAATCGGTTAAATGATTTTGTCCTGATTTAAAGCGATTCCAATGGCTGAACGAAAATGATAGGATGAGAAGGAGAAAATAAAAATTAGTTAATTCTTATTTAATCGAGAAGGTCGAACGGCGTGCTAGGAACATCTTCCATACACATCTCACCTCTCTTCTGCCTCCTTCATCCAGCGTTCCAGAACAGGTTTAATCTTTTGAGCACTTTTAGGTGTTATGTCGAGTTTTTCAAACCTGAATAAAAATGATATAAAAATTAAATGATGAATTTAAAAAAACTTTTTTTTTTATTTTTCAATTTTATAAAAAGTAAAATGAAGAAGTAAAAAAAATGTATGCGCTAGTGTGAAGTAAAGGGTGTTGAAAAGAAAATTTGAAGAAGAAAAACAGTTGTCAATGAAATTAAGTAAGAAAAATTAAAAGTGCCAGGACATTGTCTATAGAAAGCCAAACGTAGTAGATGATGATAGTTTTTTTTATTTTTTTATTTCATTTCCTTTTGATATAAATTAAAAAGAAAATGAAAAAATTTTGAAAGATCTTTTTTTAAGATGCTTTGCAGAAAGCCAAAAATATAATTAAAAAAAAAAAGTAGAAAAAAATTAAAAAAATTTTCTTTTTCAAAATACTTAAGAGTTCTTTTTTTTTGGGTAGCAAGTAGGCAATGACCTGGCCAATAATGATTTAAGATACAGAGTTAAAACATAAGTACGTAAGTAAGTAGTAAAAAAATTCTGAAAAATTTTTTAGCGCATACTGAGTGTTAAAATATAACTTATAAGTTATTAACGGCAAACGCTTATTAAGGTTTTCTTCGGCTAAAACAAAAAAAAAAAAAAAAAAAAAATATATGTAAGATATATCCACTAATTAATGGGTCTAGAACGTACTCAATTTCTAACAGTCTTTTTTTTTTTTTTTTTTTTTTTTTTTTAAATAAAGAGTAAACCTTATTTAGCGTTTTTAGTGAAAATGTGTTAAAATAAAGTAAAGTATGTCGAAAAGAAAAAGAAACAAGTGAAGCAAAGAAAAATTGAAAGAAGAAAAGAAAATTAAAGATTTACAAGCATATATAAGAGTTTTAGATATATATGAGCCGTTTATTTTGAAAGTGACCTAAGTCCGCCTTCCAAAATGTTTACAATTCCATTCTAACTTTCTACTTTCATGTGACCGGTAGGTAATCTATGCAAGCTACATATATATATATTTTTATATAAAATACAAAAGTTTCAAAAAATCCTGATCAGTTGCAGGTTTAGGTCACTTTGAAAATGAACGACTCATTCATGTGAGCTTATTATACGTAAAAAATTCTATTTACAAATTTTTTTTTTTAAATTAAAAAGTTTTTTTTTAAAATAAATTCTTTTCATTAACATACATGTTTTGTTGTTGTGTCGATAGCTGAGCAGCATACATCTGTGCGGCAAGTGCACTATTTGATCGTCGTTTTAGATTTTTTTTTTTTTTTGGTTTTTTAAATATTTTTTTAAAACAAATAAATTTTTTTTTTTATTTTGAGTTTTGGCAAAAATAAATTTTTAGAAAAAAGGAAAAAAAAAAATTAAAAATATTTTTTTAAAATAATTTTATATATTGAAAAAAAGCATTAAAAGGAGAATTAGCTTAATTAACAAATGTCCTGGCACTATAAATTAATAACAATTTAACGTAAAAATAATTAATTAAATTAAGCGTCAAAATAAAAAAAAAAACAAAAAAAAAAATCATTTTATATTCAAATGTTATCCTAAATTGATTTAATTAAACTTTCGTACCCTATTATGACAAACAATATTTGGAAAAATTTACGGAGCCCTTTTCTAATGTTTTTAACTGTAACTAGAAGCTATCAGCTCATAATGATTAATATTTGAACTATTGACGATTCGATCTTTAACTTAAGTACCTCTGAATTTACAACTTTTGCATAATTTTTAAATTAATTTTTAATATATATTTATTAGCGAACTTACCTGCATATGGCACTTTGACTATAGGCAGGACCCTCGGTCACAGATAAAGCCTGACCCACTTGAGTCTGGGTGAGACCTAACGATAAACGACGCAATTTGAAAGCTTTAGCAAATTCCTTAATCTCATCCAAATCAATGCCATCTACCACATTAGTAGTGGCCTGATTAATGGTGGGCTCGTCTACGAGAACGGATGAAGGTAAAGGAAAAAGCAAAGCAATGACATAAAAATCAAAGGCAAAATGATTCAAAACAAAATAAAAAAAAAAACACGAAAATCATTTCTTAAAACTAACTTAACAAAATGCTCTATAGGGTGCACCAAAATTAGATAATTTAGAAATTTTTATAACTTCAAATTGATGCTTTAAGAATGGAAGGCGTAGAATTTAAAAAAGATGGAACAAAAGTCGTGATGTGTTTCAACATAATCTTACAGTGGCGATAATTCGAAGATCATCTTTGATTTAATATTGTATTTCAGAAAATTATATCTATTTTACTTTCATTCTCCGATTAAATCTGAAAGAGAAATATATTTGTAAATGTGGAGTTTGTCCTGACGTCAAAGTTAACCCTTTGCACGAAATGCACATTAGTAGAAGGAATTCCTTATTATGGACAGAAAGGACCGAAATGAGGACAAAATTTGGCATAGAGAACTAATCGCAATACGACGATTGAAAAATTCTTTATGGGCTCTGTTCTAACTAAGCTAAAGTTTATGGAGAATTTGTATCGACTAACTAATTCTTTCTTAGCTTGTTGCGACTTCTTAATGTCTATTACTGAGTGAATTAGAAAAGGTTTTAACTAAAATAAAATCTCTGGACTCATTTTCCTTGATTTATCGGCGGCCCTTAGCAGAGTCCCTCATTTACTATTTACTCAAAAGCTCGATCACAATTTTTACTTTTCTAGGAGTGTGGGTACAATCTTATTTACTCAATTGGAAGCAGTTCGTTTCTTTGGGATAGTTAAAGCGAACTCTGGACTTTCTCATAAATGACTTAACTGAAGTAGTAGAGGCGGACGTCGTTTTTCATACGTCAATGATATTTTCACACTGTTGAGTTGTGTTCCGTGGCCTGCTGATGCTGATAAATAAATGTCGAATAATCGAATGCTAAAAAAATCTCTTTAGGTTAACGCGAGTAAATGAAAATTCCTTCCTTCCAACTCAGCTGTACGCTGGTATCAAAATAAGTGATACGAATATTGAATCTTGCTAAACCAAAATCAGCCATATATATGTTCACACGTTTCATCGTTTTATAATATCCCTTTTAGAGCCCCTGTATCCCCTTATGTTCGAAAGTTCTTGAAATTATCCATTGAAGCTGCAGGAAAGTGAGTTTACTTTCCAATCCCGCCAGCAGTCGTCAATATCCCGATAAGAATGAATTGTCCTGATATTTTACTTGATTGCTTCAGCTGCTAAGCGATATAGTCTCCTGAGATGTGAAAAATCTCATAGAAGGCTTTCGCACATTCATCGCATCTGCTTCACTTAATTCTTTTCAGAGCTCTATTTTTAGAGGGCCAGTTTAAGACGGGACTTATCTCGCAGTGAAGCAATGCGAGCTGAATGTAAATTCTTCTTTCAGGATTATCGCCAGCCTATGCAATCCAACGTAACCGCGCCCAAAATAATTTTCTTTTCGGTTTTCTTAAGGACTGACGTCGACGTTGACATTAGTGTAAGTGACTTCACCCCAAACTCCACCATCGAACAGACAAAGATCTAACGGGAAAAATCATGCACCTGGTTAGCGTTATTTTTGGCTTCCATCTCTTCACTAAGAGAAAGTATGTATTGACACCTGTCAAGAATGTAATCTAAATGCTTTACGCCGCCTTAACTTAGCCTAATTAGTCCATATTGTATGAAGTGAGACTTAAGAGTTCTCTTTTCTTTTTTTTTGTTTTTTTTTTTTTCTAAACAAATTTATTAAAGTTAAATGTAAAATGTATAATCATTTATTAAATTAAGCTATGAACTCGTTTCGGAACACCTTTCATGACATGAATCTAAAGCAGAAACAAAACTGTATTATATGTCATCTCTTTATGCATTTAAGTTGTATGGTAAAGTGAAACATATAAATTAAGGAAACGCTCTGCTAATTGCCGTTGATGGTTTTGATAGTGTTGGTGCTTCTGCGTTCCTGTTTCTTTTTCTTAATTACAGGTAATTGTGGTAATTTGCTAAATATTATTAACGTTAAAACCCATGATGAGGTTTACGTTGCTGTTCTCGTTGTTATTTACAGTTTATATACATACATACACTTCGCTACGAGAGACCGACAGACACTTTTAAAGTAATCAAGCTTTTTTATATGGAGTTTATGCTTCGAATGTATTAAATAATCTGAGTCAGAGTAAGGAGTCAGAGCTGGATTGTTAAATAAGTGTTACCTGAATTTCTTGCATAAATATGAAAATGACTTAATGGAAAAATGGAATAATGCTTAATATTGTATTTCGAAATTTTAAAGATTCGTTAAGTGATGCTTTAAATATATATGTCGTAGGTAAAGAAAGAAAAATTGGTTTGAGGACGACTCCTTTTTTCTTCTTTCCGAGTTTATTATCTCTCTCTCTCTCTCTTTCTCTCTCTCTATTCTCAGCTTGACTGCTAGCGAACCATAAATTTCTAATCGATTCGAAAAAAATGAAAGCTTTTGGGAGTAAACCAACGGCTTTAATGGAGGGTTTTTACGAACGGAATGACAAAGTTATTGATCTTTCCTATCGGAAGCTAAACCATGAAATCGATATACCTTTTGGCGAATTGTACATAAACACTTTTATAATTGCTCGCGGAGAAGAAAGCGGCAGAGAAACTTTTCAATAGATTTAAATTTGTTAAGCCTTTTTTTCCGAGTAATTTGTTTTGGGAAATTTGTCAGTTTTATGTAAAATATGTGTTTAGATGCTAGAGTCGTAGTGGTTATCAGCCATCATCAGCTTTCGTAACGTATAAGTTGAGGCAGTAAAACTAAATTCTTAGGAATAACATTGTCAACGCTTAAGCATAAGTATTCATTCGACTGCTTGTCTAGTCAGCCCTTGAAAGTGTATTCAATTGCAGAGAGAGAGAGAGAGAGAGACAAACAGAGATGAGCATACACTTTGTGATTTATTTTACTATTAATGATATGTATATATATGCAGTAGCGGCAAGCAACAAATGCCAAGAAATTAGCATCATCATCATCATCATCATCATCATTATAGCTAACAATCCAACGTATAGTAAACTGTGTTAACATCATCGTCATCGTCGCCGAACATGTAATATAAAGTTTTTCTTGAATGCTGCGTCTTTGGTTAAGGCAGCAGATACTTCCACTTCCAAGCACTTGTTACAATTTGAGCCGATATAAAGTAGCTAAAGTTTTGTTTTGTAATTAAACAACAACGGCAACAATTGTAAACAGTAAACAGTAAACAGCAAAACAAAAAAAAACAATAGCAGCACGCGTCATCTCATCATTTTAGTAATATAAGCAGTTACTTACTCTAGCTGCTCCAACGTCTTAGTCTTATTGAAGTGTACACAATTTTAAACTCATGACTTTAAATCCGATGAAAATTTTCGTCACAGAATGCAAACGTGTTGTAAGAGGAAGAGCTCGCAACCGAGCAAAAGTTAAGATTTTCGCGGATTTTTAACTTCCTCTCTCTCTCTCTCTCTCTCTCTCTCTGTGTGTGTCGGTGTTTGGTTTGCTTCATAGTGGAAATTTTTTTTTCGGCTTAACGTGTAACTTGAATCTTCTCGTTTTTTATTACTTGATAGTGAAGAGTGTCATTAAATCTGTTAGACACTATAATATGCATGCACTGTTTTACAATAAAATCAACTTCAAAAACAAGAACAACTGCAGCAACAATGACGAACAATATAAGACGTGATAAACATAAGTTTTGTATGCGCATCAATTAGAAGTAATTAAGCATAACATCGTTGTTTCCTTCAAGCTTACGGTGTCGAGTACGGATTTTAAAGAGCAAATTTAAACAGGCTCGATTTTTTGTAAGGAAATTCGTTCGTACCTCTTTAGGCATTCATTCAATTCCCGCCAAATACCGAGTCTTGGCTTTCATAAATCTTTTCCATCCTTCTCTACGCATAGGAGTATAATGGCGACTAAGTTTCGTACGAGGGCTTCTTTAAACAAGACTTATGCTCGTGGCTTGGCAGTTCTTCAAGAAGACTTTTGCATTTACGTTATGGAACTTATTTAAAGTTTTGTTCGCACTGCCGGTAGTGTCCGAAAATTTGGCTGTACTATTTGCACTATTGGCCAAGTGAGAGCGATTAGCGTCTCAGACCATATATGACATTCCCAATAACGGCAAGTTTTTTAATTTTTTTTCTAACAACTTGCACATTTTTCAATCGAGTCTTCTACAGTATCAAGGCCGACTATTAGATACCCGACACCAGTTGGCTTAGTACAGTTATTCAATCATGTTGGTAATAATAGATCAAGAATTTCACATTACATTCATAAAAAAGCACACTCTTCATGAAAGCCCATATATTGAAGGCTGGTCATAACACCACATGACATGATCAAAATTTAATTGATTTTTTAAAAATTTTAGTAATTGTCTGTTTCCTATGTAAAAACAAGAGGTTATACATTTTTTCCTTATAAGGGCTTGCTTTGCATGACAACACCTATGTATGTTGGGTCCTAAGAGGAGCTAAATTACTACCATGGGTCAATTTTCATCATAAAATATTAAAAATTAAACTTTTTTCTGAAAGATTTAATATCCTCGAAAATTTTTATCCCGAATGGGATCCAGGATATAGACTCATTTGATTCAAATTTGGTGCATTTACTTTTTATGTCAAATTAATATCATGAACAATGAACAATTTTAGCATATTAGGATTTATATTTTTTGAGAATCTTTGGGGTGGGGTGATGTCCAAAAAATGGACTTGCGACCAAGTCCAAATTTGGCAAAGATAATTTCTTTGCCAATTTACCATTATGAACCAATTTGTATCATGAAATGTTGAAAATTACATGTTGTTCCTATGTAAAGGTATAGTTTTGGAAGGAAAGGCCATGGGAGAGGGGGTCCAAAATAATTGTCCCTGCCAAATCATAATTTTCATACCAATTTAAATGCGTAAATAGTATTCCTCTGCGACTTTTGTGGAATAATTTTGAATATTAAAATTTTTTTCCATGTAAGGACTTTGAAAAATAGGGCGTTACATACAAAGAGCTCGAAAAAGTGGACCAATCCAAAGCGTTCGTCGCTGAAGCACGTCAATGCACTGAATTTCATCAAAATATCCCAAATATTGCCACTTGCAGGTTGAACATAAGAGCATGGACAGATAGACAGACAGATGGAGGGACTTCAGAAATGGAGGTATTTTAAGATCTTCGGATGTTACATACGTCCGCACAAACCCTATACCACAAGTAATGTAGGATATAATTACGTGGGCTATTTTCGATTAGTTCGGAGAGTACTTTCTTCGGGTGAAAATTGAAATTTTTATCGAACTACTTGCTAATCAAGCAGGCATCAATTTTCCTAAAAAATCCGGCGTCGTTTTCTACATAAAGGAACGTAGATTAAATGATTTTTATTTCTTTTTTAATTCAAATTTACATCAGTTATGCTATGTGCAGCAGAGCCACTTGAGCTGAATAGACGTCACGAGAATGGTTGCGGTGTTGCAAGTTTTAGTATTTTCCCAAAATAATTTGCTTTTGACATTCAAACACACGCCTAATAACTCCTCCATATATTATTAATCGATCAGCTTTAAAAAACAATGTCAAAAAATCCCTTTTTTGAAGGCTCTTCCTGTGCCCTTACCTCGTAATTATGTTCGGTTGTTTTGTTTCTCTCTTGTTTCAGTTGGCAGATTGATTCTGTTTCTCGATAGGTCTATTTCCATCTATTGATGGAGTTCGTCGTCATTTTTCTATTTCTAAATTTCATAGCACAGCCCCTTAGCTGTGATTGGTCGCCTATTAGTAACCATCAAGCTAACATTTGATCCGATCGGAAAATGATTAACTATCAGATTTTGCGATAATTTACAATTAAATGGACGGTAGGACCTTTACGTGTTTGGAATGAAGCCGTCTGTTGATCGCGTCTGCTTCTATTTTATAATGACTGCAAATTTGGTTTTTACTCTGTCTGCCCTTTATGCTTTATCTTTAAAAAGAGACATCTACAGCTTGTGATGTGTAATAAGTTTCTGTCCCAAAACACAACAAATATTTAGTGCAAATTTTATCCGAAGATACCAACGATAAGTGCTTTGACTCTCTTACAATTAGAATTACAACCGATTCGGTTCGTCCCTGATACCAATCTACCTAGAAGGACTCTGGATATTTTGGTCTGATATCTTTCGATTTTTACGACCGTCAGAATGCTTACTATATAGATCCATTTAGATTAACAGACGGAGGGACAGGCATATTTCAATCAATCCAAAATTTGATACCAATCAAGAATATGTATACGCTATAGTCTTCTGATAATCCATTTTATGTGTGGCAAGCGTTTTGACAAAATGAGTGCAGCCGTAACCTGGTGGATATAAAACATGAGTACGGCGAAGAGGTATCATTGCCATATTTAGTATAATATATAAAAAACCATCATCATATGTTAGTGCCGAATTGAGGTAAATAAACTTCTAAAAAAATCTCCAATAACATTATGTAATGCTGATGCTTTTACATTCAAGTAGGATACGATGATTAAACCAATTAAGAGTTCGGTTAACAAAAGATATGAATTGACCCCCAAGTATCATTAGTGTTCGTCTATCTATATCGCATTCAAAACAGAATTAATAAAATCGATAACAAAAACAAGGGTACAGACGGAGAAGGATGATGATGATGATATGTGGAAAACTAACTGTTTTAGGTGTGGTATAAGCATAGCATATGCATTGAAGGAAGTCCAAATTAAGCGAATGGTAATCAAATATTATATCCTTAGGTTTGTTTATTTTAACGATTTTACGTTTTTTTTTTTTTTTTGTTTTTTTATCTTGTTTGTTTGTTAGTTTCGTAAAAACACCCTATACATTAGCATTCGAATTGTGTTAGTAACTGAGAATTTATTTTTTTAGCAAAATTTGCCTAAAAAATCCATAATTGGATTGTGATGCGTTGGCTTTGCTCTCTGTGCTGTTGGCTTTAATTAAACTCTTGCTCTCGAAAACTCGTAAATAAGAAGTTAACTTCAATTATTTTCTTGAGCGTAAACTTTAGGTTCAAAAGTATATACATATAGTTAATTTCGAGGCATCAAACTATTTTCATCGACATACATACATTTATACTCCACACCTTGAATATGCAGTTTAGCAAGTAAGATGATATGCTTTTATTTATCATTACCATCACCATCAGTTTCATCATCTTCAAAAGTCAATGCTTTGAAGTGTTGGTAATGGTGGTTGTCGTGTCGTTTGAATTTCGTTTAAGAATATTCTACAACTGCATGAAACTTACAATAAGTCGCGGAATATTTAATGCACAATTTTCAAGGATTACTGTCACTCTTTCACTCTCTCTCTCTCTCTCTCTCTCTCCCTGTTTCTCTTTCACAAACAGACACATACAAGATAATATTTGAAAAGTTTAACAAATGAATTAGCGCGTGTGTTGAGTGTGAAATTTATAAAGTTTTGCTAACAGCTTTGAATATAATAATAATAATAGTAATCATTTCAAATTCATACAAATCTTAATTGGTAGAGATTCTTTGCTATATCATCTATCTATTCAATATAGAGACCAATTAAGATTTCAATCTTTTTGTTTTTTTGTACAACTTATTATCTATGCTAAATTCGAAAGCGATCTTTACTCACTCGGTGAATCCATTAGAAGATCATGAGCTCCTGCTGAACCTTCGGTGCCATTTGGCGAAATTTGCGGTGGCTGTTCTCCCAAGCGCTCCCGCTCCCCCCCCCCTCTCGTTCCCTTTCTCGTTCGCGTTGTTGTTGCTGCATTGAACTAGCTGCACTTGGACTTAATTTTAAGCTGTGCATTGGATGGTGGGAATGGTGTGGATGTAGTGTTGCCGGATTCGAACTTGAACTCGTGCTTGGTCCCGCTGGAGGTGATGTAGGTGAAGAAGAAGACGCTCTCGTCGCTGTTGCAGTCGGTGGTCCATGAGATTTACTTATAGTTAATTCACCATTAGCTGACGAAAGTCTGCGAGCAGTTAAAAGTTTACATATTTTTAAGAAACATTTCTTAGTTTCGACTGTTGCCTACCTGTTCATACTATTAAGTACATTTGCGGTGTTCGACGATGATCCTGAGACTGACGGACCGCCCACCATTAAACCATTCCCCAGAAAATCGCGTTCATGTGGCGAATCCAGTATAGAATGAGGCGGTGGTATGTGATGTCCGAGATGGGGCGAGTGACTACGAAACATCGGCCCACTGCTCGAAGAAGTGGCTACACCCACTGGTGAAGAGAACCCTCTGTCATTGCCGGTTAAATTCGTTCCAACTGTGCTGGTTACGGTTGTTGAATGGTTGCTTGTTGCGCAAGTGCTTGAATGGCTGGTATTTAAATGGCTATTAGTGCTGTTACTTAACGCTGCACCGCGGGCATTTAATGTGGCCGGTGAAGCAGCTCTTATACGTTCCATCCCCCTTTCTCGTTCACGATCTCGTTCCCTTTCTCTTCTCTCCTCCCTTTCTCTTTCTCTTTCCCGCTCACGTTCCCTCTCTTTCTCTCTTTCATTAGTGGCCATTTGACTTAAATTCATACCAGCATTGCTGCTGCGTGAGGGACTCATCTTAATCGCTTGGTGATCACGAGACTCCCTTTCTCTTAAGGTCATACTATTGGAAGAACGCGATGAAGGACGCGGTGATGAAGCTGCTGATGTTAAACGATGATGTGAACCAAATTGATGCCTACTCAGAGGAGGTGAACATGTCGTTGAATTTTCATTGGTTGCCACACCGCTACCGTGCAGATGTGCTGTCGGTTTACATTCTAATTTTGGTGAGGTTAGACCTTCAGCGTGCCTTAAGGCTTGCGTATGATGATGTAAAGCTGCTGCCGCCGCGGCCGCGTGGTGGGAATGCAAATGCGTTTGGCTTTCGGGTTTAATATGCAGTTGAGTTTGTAAATGAAACGCGGCAGCAGCTGCTGCGGCCGCCGCAGCCGCTTTTGTACTATTTGTGGGTGAAGAAGGCGGGGATCTTTCGTTCGTGGAGGCTCTTAAATGCATTTCGTGGTGATGGACTGCGGCTGCTGCCATTTGTTGAACATGCTGATGTTGTTGCTGTTGCTGCTGCTGTTGGTGTTGCTGATGATGGTGGTGATTTACTGCAGCCGCCGCAAATAATTCAGGATGCAGGGCTGCCAGTAACTGTTGCACACCACTTGAAAAGAGGTTAGGTTTCAGTAAATTCGTAGGGGCTGGGGCAAGTTGCGGCAGGCTTGGCGGTGGCGGTGGCTGATGAAGTGCGGCCAGCGGTGCTGACAACTGGGACGTACCCCCTAACAGTGACGCTGCAGCCGCAGGCTGTGGCTGTGCAGTTGGGAAACCCGCAAAAGCTCCAAAATTTGACAAAAACTGTTCGTTTGTATTGATCTGAGGACTTACTGGTATCGTCAATATCGTCTGTACAGCAATGCCTAAATATCAAAAATGTGAAAATCATTCATTTTATAATGGAATATATTACCTTGTGCAGTTGGTATTAATAGCTGAGCACCTTGCACACCTTGAACTAATTGACCTGAAGCCAAAATAAGTTGTGGCATCTGAGCACTAGCCGGTGGTGCTTGTAATTGTGGCGGAGGAGAAGCAGTGGCCGCAGCTCCGGCCGCCGCAGCTGCTGCAGCCGCGCTATTCAATACGCTGGCCAATGTATTTTGAGCGGTAGCAGTTGCCTGCGTCGTACCACTATTAATATGTGTAGAACTCGGTGAGGTTGAGCCCGTGTGATGTTGAGTTTCGCCACCAGCTGCTCCAGCTCCATTTGCAGTGCCAGTACCCGCAACATGATTCATCGCTTTATGAGTAGCATTTAATAAATCAGAGGCTATCGAGGTGGGTGTATTACAAGTGCCTGCATTAGTTACAGTAAGATTAAGGGGAGAGTTTAAAGCAGCTGCTGCCGCACTGGCCGTTAAACCGGCCGCCAATCCCTGCAGACTTGCCAGTGCTGCTGCTGTGGCAGCATTGCTGCCTATACTTTGTTCGGATTGAAATGTGCTGAGGTTTTGTAATTTTTGTAAATTTAACATTTCTTGCACTAAAATAAAGTTGAATATGAAAAATAATCGTTAATATCTATTCCAAATGCCCACAATCGCCCGAATAGGGGGGATTAGGGTTTAAATATGTGTGGGGTGATGCGTTATACCATATCCGTAACTAAAATTAACAAAATATTCAAAGCAATCATGGGAATACTAAATTTTCAGTAATGCATTTTGATGGTTAATAGAAAGCCAAGCGGTCAACTAACCGCATGAATGATTCCAGACCAATTTAACAAAAGCAACTGAAACATAATTGTTCAAGTTGCTGTCCGAAGTAATAGAATGGAATTTACCGAGATCCGAAACAACATGCACATGAATTTCCGGAGTTAAGTCATTTGTTAGTTCAGTTAGAAGGTGATCATCTTCATTACATCTCTGCGGCATTCGTTTTTAAAAATATTTCGAAAAAAGCTATAAGCTTAAAAGGTGTTGAGCATTCGAAAGACGATAACTGAAAGCAGATTTTTTGGACTATAATACCATCCCATAAGCAATATTCTGTTCGACGCTGTTCAGGCCATTTGTCATAATCTGATAATGCGTCGACACCTCTTCTTTCGAGAGCTCTCACGATATCGAAGTTGATGGCAATGGATGCCAGCTACGGTGTGAGTGGACCCAAATGTAAGCGAGTAAGTTTTATCAACGTCACCGTCCTAAGCCTAATCTCATAAATTTGATAACGAAGCAAGGGGGCCGTGTAATATATATTTTTCAACCTTCTTTACAACTGTCTTCGACGTATCACTATATCGTTAGACCTCGATAGCGATCCGTGCATAAAAATTCAATTGAGTTTCTTCGTTATCTTGAGTCAAGAACATCGACTCTACATGTCTGTATCGCACAAAAGCTATGCCAAGAAAAATATTAATTTTTCTCTTTTGATTGATTGATTGAATACTGCTGCCTGTAAATCAAAATGTGTTCAAAGACACTCAAAACGACGTAAAAGCAAGTAAGTATATCGAATATATAAACAAATTAATTGTTTGATTGGCCTTTGCTCTCATTGCATCGACTGATTGGTTATTGCTGTCATTACAATTGAAACATATGGGAGAGAAGAAGATGATAAAAAATTATATAGAAAATCCTTGTGCAATTGCCGAGTAAAGCAAGCTCGTTACAATAATTGATGAATTCTTTTAAGCAAAATTTAAAATCTATATACATATAAACTATCAGTCTTCTTCGTTCAAATACAAAAAGGAACTACGTTGCTTGATAGAATACAGTTACGATTTTGATGGACGGACGTGGATATTTATTAATGAGTAGATATGCCATAGATGGGTCATTGGTGAATCTGTGACGAAAGAACTGCGGTGTTTACGATTTTATTCTATAATGCCAGCTTAGGCAGGCTTCGGCCCTATCCACAGACATGACAGCTCGATAATTTTTAACTTAACTGGCCATTCCTTTTAGCACTCAAGACGAACTCTACTAAGAGCGCGTCTATTGTTAGGATTCTTTTAAAATATTGATTACATATATATAACTCGATTATTGAATTTTCGCAGAAAAGTTGTTCGCAGTAGTACGAGCACTTGGTCTACCTCACTAAGATCACTTGTTGCAGACATCCAGATCTGTCTATTTATTCTATAAGAGAACTGTACGTTTATTTGGTTATCTTCAGCAACGTTGAATAGCCGCCGACTTATCATATCGCCTGATTAAATTTAAAGTTAACATGTGTAATATTAGCGCAAAAGAGGCAAACGTAAATGTCAAGACCCGCTTTTAGTTATATGGTTCAGATGAAAGGAAGATAGAAGTGCTTTAGGTTCATTTATGTGCGTGTTAATGTGTTTGAATTAATTTTTATATATATAAAATTGGATATCGATATGTACTCACTAGTTCCATTTAGATGAGCTTGAGCGGCCGCTGCCGCAGCTGCTAACGCGGACGCCTTCGCCTGATCTCGCTGTTCACGTTCGACTGCGCTGCTACCATCGGTCATATCATGATCATGATCGTCAATAATCTGACATTTATGATCCTCATCTTCGGCATGTTCAGTATCGATGTGCATATGTTGCGGCGAAGAGATAGGTGATTCTTGTGCATCGGTACTAAGTTGATGGTAATGCTGATGATGATCGTGTATCGATTGCGGTGAATTCGCATTATTGATAATAATATTATTGTTGTTATGATTGTTATTATTATTACTGTGATGTGTTGAAGCCAGAGAGGCCGCTTTGGCTAGATTCTTATAAAATTCCAATTCTTTAATACAATCTTTATCGCTTAGTGGCGGAGGTGACGAATAATTCGAATTCAAATCGTTCGTGCTAAGTATAGGCGAATGAATTTTGTGTGGAGGTATTTCTTTATCATAATCCTGTAAATAAATTGAAAAGAAGAAGAAGAAGAAGAAGAATGAGAATGAACATATTTCATTAAAATTCCAATAAAAACATTTAAATATCAATATTATTTACAAATATTTCAACATTCAACAAGTAGTCTTGTGTTTGCATCAATTATCAATATGTACGCGTTACATGCACACATCTGCCTATAGGAGAGACTGGCTTAATTTATTTACAATTATACTGAATTTATTTATTTTATTTTTATGTTTTTTTTTTGTTTTCGTGCATTTGTTCTATAATGAAATTATTACGTTGTATAACAAACACACATGCAGACAAAGGCACACACACACACACACACACACACACAGACACACGCGCACACAAAAGTTAACTGTCATTATTACACATGATTATTATTAAATAATTGTCAGTGCAAATACGTTTACGCCGAGGACACGTACGTACGTATGTACGAACAATCGCATAATACATAATACAATGCATTGAATGCGTGTGTATATGGCGTTTGAAAATGGTATGATTGTTGGCATTGCTGCCAAAAGAAGACTACTGCTTACATATGTTTGTATGCGTTTATGATTTCATATACATACATATGACATGATACGCCAGCTACTTAAGCTCCCATATGACAACTGCGAAAATTAACGTAATTAAATTAAAAAACACTTCATCAGGAAAAAATTCAGGCAAACAAATGCTCGCGTTATACCGTGCGTAGCATACGTACGCAATATAATTGCGCGTGTGTGTGTGTGTGTGTGTGTGTGTGCGTTTGTGTGTGTTATCTGTTTATAAACAATAGTATAACCGTAAACGTTGTATATATGTTTAAGTATAGTTGTTACAAAAGTCATTTCCTACTACACGAGCAAAGTTTGAGCGAAAAAAAAAAATCACTGCCATCGTGCTGTAGTAGTGCGGCTGTTTACAGAAAACTCATGACGTTGATGATGATAATGATGATTCTGAGCCTGGATGCTGATTGTGTGTATCATAATTCGTTTACATTAACTTTTTCATTGCCGATATTTCTGTTCTTTTTTTTTTCTTTTTTTTTTTTGGTCTTCTTTTTGTTGCTGTTGTTTATTAACAAACAATTGCTGTTCCCATTGTAATTACACAAATATGAAAAGAAATATAATTTAATAAACTCATTTCAAATGCATACATTGTTTATTAACAATTGCATTCATTAAAGGATTTGTATATTTAACGAGTCTACCGAAAAATCGGTATAAGCAAGCAAGGGCACTGTACAATTCAAATAATTGCAAATTTTATAATTTTATGATTGATTGAATACGAATCCAATGGGTAATCCTATCACAAACATTGTACATGTAAGCAACATTTTGAATCCGCTTTGTTGAGTCTTGGCCGCATTTGTGAGGTTTTGTTCTATTCCTTTTTCTTATCCTCCTAAATGATCCTTAAGCTTTTGAAAATCATGTTCAGAAAATCTTATGATAGATCTACCTATTTTCTGTATCCGAGTCAAAAGTTAGTTTTTCCGAGTAAAGTCGTTACTTACACGTTCTTCAGACCAGTGCTACTTAAAGCTTTAATTGAATTTAATAAATGTTCTTTTCTAGAAGTTTCAGCTCTCAGTCAATTGCATTGAAGTCTCAACTGTAGGTTCGCAATTATGTGCACAAAATTCGTTTTGGTTGGTTAATGATGGACCGGTTCGATAGCGGAAGATGATTGTGTATCTTTTAAAGGCCTACCGTCTTACCTATTGACGGGAGCTGTAGCTGATAAACGCTAATATTTCGTTTATGTAAGGCATTCACGATCGCTCGATTTGCTTTTTTGCCTTCTGAGTGAATTAAGATGTAAACAATTGACGCACATATAGACTTGCATAAGAGTGCTTGAGACATTATGAACGCATTCGTATAATGCATTGTAAATTGTTTTTTTGTGATGAATTTTTTTATTTATTCATACATGTGTATGTGTACGGGATGAGTAAATTATTTCGTTTCTTATGGTCATAGAAAATTAAATATTATTAAAAATTTTATTCTATTTTCATATGAAACGATAGCTTCATCTCGCCATCGATGGAGAGAGAGTGTAAGTTTATGGAAGTGGGAAAAACGATTCTCTTAAAACAAAGCCACTAATTGACAGCACTTACGTACAAATGAAATTCATCGCTAAGATGATGTCAAATAATTTTTTAATAAATAAATGGAGTTCTGGTATTGATTACTCATTTCTAATATCTTTTATAAACTTTCCTATAAGCAATGTGATTTGCGTCTTCGAATCTAATTTGATTGAATTATCGGATTCAAATATCTTGGCAGAGGCAAAATATCAAATCCAGTAAATAAGTTTCTTATTTAATAGTTTGTACTTGTAGCTATGTCAACTTGCATCGTAACATACATAAGTGTTATCACGAGAAGTAGAAAATTTTATATGGAGAGACAGACGTTTAAAAGACTTTTCATATTTATTAGAGAAAAAGTTATCGCTGGAAGGTCATGCAAATATCTCAACTCTATTGGAATGGAGAGAAGGAATGCCGAATAAAATTTTCTTAAAAACTTAACTGATGAAAGTTCGGGCAAGAATGGTAATTTGGAGTATCCTTCGACTGCCCTCGTTACACTATGTCGCTTCTTTAATAACAACATCTAAGAGCTCTTAGGTTGACTTAATCCCGCAATGGATGATATTATTAGATAAAAAAGAGTTGTCGACGGGAAAAGTCTGCAGTATGTTAAAATAATAGAAAACATGATAGATATAGCGGCTCATGTCCCACCTTTACATACGCCACATCACCTTGCAGTTATTCAAAGCAAGGCGTTAGGAAGTGGCCGAAATAGCTTTCGTCCTTGGGTCAAAGCAAGTCGTTTTACCCAATTTCGTCAAAATATCTTAAAAATTTGCGAATTGTAGGTGGAGCAGAATAATTTTAGACGGTCAATGGGGCAGACAAGCTTAGAGCGACTCAGAAAGTGATTCTGATCAGATCGAAATAATGAGAGATGGGTCTAACTCAAATCCATCGACACAAGCCTGCTATACTTTTGTACGACAAGTGCATAAAAAGATTTCTTAAAAAGTCACTGTTAGATGTGTTCACCTTCGCTGACCTAACCATGGATGAAATATTTACTTGAAAGTTAATATTTCGTTTCCTTTTGTTACTGCCTTTGCATTTACATTATCTAATTTATTAAAATTTTATCTTTTAAGGCAAATTTCCATAATTGCTTGCTTGACTTTTTAAAATTTACCTTATCAAAGCTCTAAACTCTTAAGCAACTACAAATTTATTTAATAGCGCGTTAACATACAAACATTTATATGACTTCATAACCACTTAATATTAAAATCAATAAATTGAGTTACACAACTATAGCAAATATAAAAACGTCAAACAACGAAAAGTAAAAACTTATTATTATTTAAGCAAACTTCATTATGTCAAATAATATAAATCTGTATAGAGAAGACCAACATATTTATATAAGTACATAAGCTCTAGCAGCCGTTTACATGTATGTAAATAAATATATGTGTATATATTTCCGCATATATATATATATACAATAAGTCTACATTATTATTATGAATCACCAGGAAGCGAACTGCATTATCGACCACTTGCAACATTCATTTTAATTTTTGTGCTTTTTTTACTAAATTATTTTTTTTTTTTTCTTTTCTTTCAATTTTTATTTTATTTTACTTTTTTTATTTTTATGTTTATTTTTATTTCTCTTCTTTTTTTTTAATTCTATTGTGAAAGCATAGCTTGGAATGCCAACGAACGATAGGACGACCACTGCTAACATATGCAATTGAGCGTTGGTAAATATGTTGAAAAGTTAATTCATTACACATCAATGCATAAGACTACTAACAACGGCAGGAATGGATGGCAGATATATATATGTGTATACATGTAAGCAAAAACACAGCCGGAGTCTATATGAGAAAGAAAGAGAGAGTATACGAAAAAGGAAATTTTTTCTTATTTTCTTTTATTTTTTTTGAATACAAGTAACACCTATAACTATGCTATAGATGCTACCATATGTATGGATAGTGAATATTGTAGTTGGTGAAAGGTATAGCACTTCATAAAGCAGGACATTCACTTTATGAGGTGGAAAAACTGTATAAGGAGTGAGAGGGATAAAAATGCAAATAGCAATAAATTAACTTTCAATGCACAATGTACTGAAAATATGCAAGTATTGACACAGATGTATGCATGTAGTCGCACTTTGATAAAGTGATCATGTAATGACTATGAACGTGTACTCTGTTGCAACCATTTAATTACGCAAAGAAAATAATTATTAAAGTATATATTAGGGCTAACAGTAAATGAAAGACTAGAAGCGTCTATTTAGGTAAGATATCTAATATGAATGGAATAAAAAGAATAAATAAGAAAAAAGGAAATTAAAAAGAAAAAAAAAAAAAGCGAGTAAATTTCAAAATATAAGTTAAAAAGCTTAAACATGTTATTTCTATAAATGCGAACATAAAAACATTTTATAATCCTTAAGTATTTGCGATAATGAATATAGCTTAAGCTATAAAAAACACAATAAAATGTAATATTATTGTAAACCTGCATTAAACCAATATAATTATTGCCAATTGATACCGTTAAGCGAAGCAACGCCAGAACGCAAGTGTATACATTAACACACAACGTTTTTTAGAATCATCTCATCGTTTCGTAATGACGGTCTGTGGGTATATTTGCATACAATTTGTAAACGGGAATATGTAAATAATTTGTGTGGGTGCTTAAGGTGTGGTAATACAGAATAAATAGTGTAGAATAGCAAAAAAAAAGTAAGACAAAAAAAAAAAAAAAAAAGCTAGCGTAACACCAAACGCTTCAATTAAATGTTATTTGCATTGAAAATTAACATAATTGCTGAGAAATACGTAAAGGTATCATAAAGTTTTTCTGCACCACATCCGCTTACTTACCGTTTGACGAGGGTGAAAAAGG